CATATGTATGTATATGTAAATGTTCATACGTTCGTGCCGCATTGATTTGACTATTTCGGAGATTGTAAATTCCTTTGTACACACAAACACGAATTGATAACGAAAAAGCAATATATAAATAAATTTTTTTGAAAGCTAACAGTGCGTTAAAAGTTGTTAAAGAATAGTTCACTAACCAATTTGTCACGGATTTTCTTTAAAATTATATAAGGGAGGTAACAGTTTGTTAATTTACTGATTGTGGATATCGAACATAAATACTATACACACAAATTGCAGCGTACTTCCTCTGCCTACTACAGTTTCATCAAACTAAGGTTAAAGTCTAACGTATTTAGAAGCTCTTATTATCATACGAAATTCGGTTAAACATTTTACAATCGGCAATTTATGTTTATTTTGCGAAAAAAGCGTATTATTAAGATAACGGGTTAGACTTTGCTTAGCCATAATAATATGTCACTCTTATCGTAGTTTCTAATTAACACGAATTAATACATAGTGTGAGATGATTGGCGGCGGTAACACAAAGTTCATATTTGATTAATAACATTCGGCCCGCGCAAAGTGACCAGATTAGAATTTTCACAACTCTACCTAGCTTTTGCCATTTAATTTACATGGAAACTTTGGTTTCAGCAGTTGCAAAAAAAAGCCTGTTTGGCATTTTTTTTTTTTGATTAAAAATGTATCGACTTTTTTTTAAAAATCTATTTAGAAATTTGGCTAATATTTGTCACTTTTTAAAAGTAAATTTAAAGTAAGCTAGAAGCCCTGAGCAACCGACAGAGTCGAGATTATTCTCTTCGGGCTATTCATGAAAACTAAGTATTTGTGTTTTCTAAATACCTTTTCACAAAATTAGAGTTATTTCCCCTAGATTTAACCAAAGAAGGATCCCCTAACACCACAGGCTTTTTAAAAATCGAAAAAAAGGCCAAAAAATCATAAGCTTAGTGCAAATTGAATGGAACTTTCTCAAAAATAAAAAAAAAAATAAAAAAAAAAATAAAATAAAATTCGTTAGCCTTTCGCAAGACTTTTGCAGCTAGCTTACGATTATTTTCGCTGAATGCTGCCAGTTATTATAACCTTTAACCTCATGAAACGCTATAGTCATATGGATCGTTGGAGATTTTTGATATGCTGCTTAGAACGGCCAAAATAGTTAAACCATAGATAATACTTGTAGAAAATATACAATTGACTACATTACTACTCCCAAGTGCCTTACAAAAGTTCACACCAAAGGCTAGCTCATTACATACATAGAAAGTTTGAAATAGCTTTCCAGCGGGCAAATTTAAATCTTTTGAAATGATGAAGTGAAAAAGAAAAGATTCAAAATCTGTGAAATTTTCTTGTTTTCTTTTCTAATTATCAAATCATTTTATCTTTCTCGATCATTAAAGACATATACATATGTAATCATCTATCAAAAATCATAAGTGGTTTTTGAACTTTTCCGAATCCAAAAAAAATTTTCTGGTAAAAACTTTTCCCAATCACTTCCGAGTGAATTTGAACCAAAGTCACTTTGAAATCGAATTGATTGGGGTTGAAATTCACTCTTAAGTGAAGAAAAATGTTTTCACTTCACCTTTTCACGGAACGAGAATTGGCCTTCAGTTCTTGACCTGGTCACACTTGAAGCGCCGGCAGTTTCTGCACATATCTACATACATACATACATATGTATGTACTATTTATGTTTGATAAGCATTTTTATTACTACAATGTCGCTATTGTTAAATGTAGTCATTTTGATACATATTTGCAAATCTATTCAATCGATATTTAATTGTGAATTTATTATAAATACGAATTTTGCTTTCATCAATTAACGAATGCATATGCGCTCTAATTTTAGTACTTCTAGCTAAATGGTGGCGAGCAGAGATGCACTGATCGCTAATTAGTGTCATTAGAAAGTTAGCGTGAAAGTGAGTTTGAATTCGGTAGTCTGGTTGAATGTGAATTTCATACATATATACGTATACTTGGCATATGTAATTAACATAAAATTAAATGAAAAATATAAATTACATAGGCGAAACCGAAAATGAAAAACAAAAACGGTTAAAGTGGCTCACAATCAAATCTGCAGAATCTTTTCTCGTGAACTGAATTAGGCAAATCATTTCAATTTAGAATCCTCCGGCTTTTTATATGTACATACTACATATTTTTTTTCGGAAATTTTTATACAAATGCATTTTTCTCATACTTTACAGAAAACAATTTAATAGAGAACGATACCAGCGAATGATATATCTGTACATAAATCATGTCTTCACTTGGAGAGCTTAAAAAGTTAAGACTGATACACTTATGCATTGCCGTCACTTTCTTCATATCCGGACTGGTGATAAATCTGCTGCAGTTAATATTACATGTGGGATTGAAACCTTTCAATGTTGTGCTTTTTCGGCGCATCATGTACTATCTCTGCTATTCGCTGAACTCACGTAAGTGTTTTGCAATCATGTATCTAACTGAAATGTCTGCCCCACGAAATATGCAACCACTTTTTTATAATTGAAAATTACTTGATTTCTCATTATGTAGAACTGCTATTTTTCGCTGAGTGGTATTCGAATAGTAAATTACATGTTTATATGGACCCCGATGACTTCAAGAAATACAGTGGTAAAGAACATTGTATGCTTATGATGAATCATGCTTATGAAGTCGATTGGCTCGCCGGTTGGATGTTTACCGAAAAGAATGGCGTTTTAGGCAATTGTAAAGCGTATGCAAAGAAAGCTATTTCCTATGTGCCTGCAATCGGTTGGGCATGGTATTTCGCTGAATTTGTGTTTTTGGAACGTTCATACGACAAGGATAAGGAGATAATTGCACGTCAACTAAAGGAGGTGTTTGCCTATCCAGATCCTGTATGGTTGCTGCTGAATGCTGAGGGAACGCGCTTCACGCCGAAGAAACACGAGGCTTCTGTTAAATTTGCACAGGAGCGTGGTATGCCTGTGTTAAAGCACCACTTGATACCGCGCACAAAGGGCTTCACTGCAAGCTTACCCACCCTACGTGGCCGTTGTCCAGCCATCTATGATATTAACCTGGCCTTCAAAAAGGATGCTAAGGTGAGTGCTTTACAACAAACAATTGCCCAATTGTTATGATAATCAACAACCGCTTTGATCACACTCAAATTCAATTGTAGAACCCACCAACTATCTCTACACTGCTGAATGGACTTCCGATAGAGGGTTTCATGTTTGCACGTCGCATTCCACTCGAGAGTGTGCCTGAAGACGAGACAGCGGCTGCTGAGTGGCTACAAAATTTATTCCGCGAAAAGGATCGCATTATCGATAGTTTCCATACAACAGGCAGCTTCTTTGAAACGTCCGGCTTTAAGGAAGTGCCTGTAATGCATTTTAAATATCGGCCATATAATTTTTTGAATTTTGCACTCTGGGCTGTATTCTCGATATCACTAATACTCTACTATTTGGTGTCTTCATTTTTGTCTCAAAATTGGATTGGCCTTTCGATTGCTGTCGGCATACTATTAGCGAGTAAGTCCCAAACTGCTAAAATTTTTAGTCATAAAATTATTTAATTATTTGATTTTATTTTCCAGTCTACATACTTATGGTTAAGTCGATCAATATGTCGAAAATCAGCAAAGCTTCATCTTATGGCTCCGAAACACCAACGCAACAACAACAAAAGTCGAAGTAACTGAAATGTTGATAGAAGGGCTTGCGGGCAAACAACTTGTAAGCGTCCATAAGTTACAAATTTTATCAAATATGCATAAGCGTACACACAAAATAAAGCGTACAAGCGATATGATTAGAAGAGTATCTTATACAAACAAACATACATATATAGCCGTAAATGTATTTTCACAATATCATGTTAAAGTGAAAGAAGTGGATTAAATTTTTATTTTTTAAAGAAAAATCGGGCAATGTTCATGTGTAATTGAAATATGCTTGCAAATATATATGTACATACATGCATATATAAAAATATATATACATACATGTCTGTGAACAAATTTATAGCAAAGTAAGTGGAGATCCCATTAGAATTATCCTAACTACTATGTAATATTAATGTTAATGTGACTTTTGAAATGTTAACTACATTTATACATACATACATACATACATACATACATACATATATTGCTGACTAGGGCAACAGTTGAATTGTCAGCTAACTAATTGATGTGAATTAATTTTTACTTTGAAAGATAAATTTATTTTTAAGATGTTGTTTCTTTAACGACTTGTAACTCTATTTTCTATGGCGAATGAAGCTAAAATCAAAGAAGCACAAAACAACAACCACCTACTACAATTTAAGTGATTTAAGCTTGTAAACCACCTACCGAATAAACAAATCAAAGAAATACTTCCCAACATTAGTGTTAAATGCAATTTAATAATAATTTCAAAAGATGAAACTGAGCTTATGTAAATAGGACAGCCAAACACTAGAACAATTTGAATTTAGTAAATAAATGGAAATGTGTGGCACGTAAACATTTGCTAAAAGATTTAAAGCTATGTCTAACTAACAGCATTGTCCAACAATTGATATTTTGGTACATATTTTAATAACTTTTATGCATTAAAAGATTAAAGCGCAAATGATGCCTGCAACTAAATGAGAAGTAAGATTTATCTAGTTTGAAGACAATACTAAATGAATAACGTTCCCTCATTCTGATGAATTTGAGTTAAAAAAAAAAAAGTTATTTAGTAGCAGAAAAAATATTTCATTGTTTTCCAAAAATGTATTGTTCTATATTAGATAAATAGTAGTGAAATCTTTTGACTAAGAAGCCGCATATTTTGTAATCTGAAAATCATGTTAGGAGTATGCAAACGCATACGCAACCGCAAACGCAAAACGCAGAAAGTTATATTTTTTTTATCAGAAACGCATCAGAAGGGTAATTTACATTTATTTCTTTTTCAGGTTCACATACATATACATATTGACAAATCACTTTTTGGTGTAAGTGTAGTTTGTCCGAATGAATTTTATAGTGATTTATTAGAATTTAAAATGGGTAAAGACAAATTATGAACTAATATTGTATTAATTTCTTAAAAATTTTCAAAGAAGTTTAATAATAAAATTGTGCTGAAATTTTTGTTATATATAAACGCCTTTTTCATTCTTGGGGTGTGTATAGGTAATATAAGTTAAATAATCTTTAGGATACATTTTTTGATTACAGCGATTACAGTGGAAGTCGGGAAGAAAAATCCCTTACACGGTGGGTGAAAAATTAATAGGAACGCGACATTTTAACAAGTTTCGGGTACTTTTCTTTTGTTTATTTAATGTTTATGAATAAACCAAATTTCAAACTTGGTACAAAAATTTGGAACATTCAAAAATGATTCATCAAAATTTCAAACTTCTCAATCGGAATTAAAAAATAATAATTTTGTACGCATTTCTCCGATATAAAAAACTTATTCGAACATACTTCGCATGAAAGAAAATGAGTAACATCATCAGCAAAAAATTATTAAAAATTAAAGGAGCTTTTCACCAAATTAACACTTACTTTTTGTTACATTAAAATTCAATGGGGTATAAAACTGCAGACCGATTCGCGAATTCATCTGCGTAGCCTATTACGTTTTAACTGCACAAAGCTTTAAGATTTGAACTTAGTCGAACCATTAATACCGATTTTGTGCAAATCTCCACTACAAAGCCATCTAATGGATTTATTTTTGGTAAGTGCTCATTTCTCATTATATATGCAGTGTATATTTTCAGTTAAGAGTTTTCGCAAACATAGTATAAGAGCCTTTTCACATTACCCTAAATTAAAAATTGATCCGCTAGGTGGCGCTGGAGTCGAGATATTCAATAAATCCTCACCTAATGGTCTGAAGAAATTTTAAGTTTTTAGCTCATCGGCAAGTTGGTTTAAAATTGATTGCAAAATTTGATTACGCACAGTTGAAACATAATAAAAGCTTGTAAAAAGAAAACAAATAGCCAACAACTTATTAAAATGAAGAGCCCCTATTTATTTTTCCACCACTGTACATGTTGGTTAGTGCAATAATTTAAAACATTTTTTTTTATATATGCCTACCTCATTTCTTTCGTTGGTTATTTAATTGTAGTTATTTAAAAGAAAAAAAATATAGTTCATTTTGTAACAAAAACGAATAAATCCAAGTTTCAAACTCTGCAATATTTAGGAAAAAAATCAACAAACTTTCGTAAAAAAATTTAGTTTTTTTAATTAGATCTCTTAGAAAGATTTCAAGTATGCAGTTTGTAGTCCATCGAATTCTAGTAGAATAAAGTGCAAGTTTCAAATGACTAAAAGTTACCGTTGATTTATTAGATTTTTTTTTCGAAGATGTTACGTCTTTCTTCTATATAAAAATTTGCGTTCATTCATTATATGGAAGCTAATGTGACAGCACAAATTCCAAAAAATTAACGATAATTGTTAGCCATTTCAAACTTGCACTTTATTCTACTTGAATTGAATGGGCTACATAGCTGCAAAATTTTGTAAGAAATATTATTAAAGAGCTAAAAATTTTTACGGTTTTGGTTAAGGAATGAACTATCTGTTTATAAAAAAATAACTAAAATTAAATAACAAAAATATAAATTGTTAAAAATTGTCAATATGTGATGCGGCTATAATTTTTTCGACCACTGTATGTAGTAGAATTGCTCAAAACAAAATCGGTTTAGATTTAAATTTTTATCGGGGACGCTGTTACGGAAAATATTTGAAAGCATGGAGTTGATTTTCCGAACTTTTGGAGTATTTTTTTTTAGTAATTTCTCTCGGATACTGAACTAATAGAATAAAATTACCTAAGATTTCTAAAATGACTCAGTTGTTTATTAACTGTGTGGGCCGGGCCCTAGTGTACACTGTGGCTGGAGGGTAGTATATTCATGCATGCATACTACATATGCACATACGTATGTATGTATGTATGCATGAATGTGCACCCAATCTCTCATTTTGCGTATTGATTTAGCAATGTGTGTTTACTTGGCTTCGGACACCACTGCTATTTATAAGACTCGAAAGAAATTACGCAAATTGCACTCACAACTATAGATACATAAAATATATATTTTTATATACATTTGCAAGTGCATGGCTATTTACTGTGCAATCAAGTTAATTAACGCACAATTGACTTCCAACGCCGTTGTGTAGACTTAAGAAAAGTAACAAAGAAAGTAGGACTATATAAAAATTGGCATATAGCCGAGAACAGCTGATCTTAGAAACTACGCTCATTGCCACATGAAAAGATTTTAGTCTTTTATTTATAAATTGCAAGTTGCAGCAAAACGAAAACAAATCAATGCTTACAAATTTACCTTTAATGGTAAGTAAACAAGCAAGCACATTTTTGCGAAAACATAAAAACAAAATTAATCCACTTGAGAAATATGCAAGTCAAGTGAACTGTCAACTGGGCTGGGCTGTTGTTGACACAAGTCCATTTGGGTTGCCAGAAGTCAGCTGCAGGAGCCATTTGAAGAAGCACACAATTTACTCTTGTGTTCATTGTACCTGTGTAATGTTAGTAGTAAGTCTGTGAGAATGCATTAATTAATATATTGGTTTTTAGCATTCGCGTAACACTACACATACTCTTGCTAAAATTTTTATTAAACATTTTAACAATCTCAAAGCATCTTTGTTAAAGTATTGCTGGCGTTTGAAGTGATTTATTTTGAGTCTTAAAACAATCGATATATCGCTTTGATTTCCTCTGTTTGTGAGTGTATGTGTGTGTATATGGTAGAGCAATACAATTTTAATCAAAGCAAATTGTGTGTACTAATCCAATGCAAAAATGAAAATGTTAATTAGCATTTCTGTGCCAGACGCTTTCTATTTTCTTTAAAACCCGCCAAGAATTTGGCTTCTTCTTTGTTTTTCCGATACAAGTTCCGGTTTGTTTTTACTACTTTATCGTTGGAAAAAAAAAAAATAAAAAAAAAGTGTTTACCGTTTGGGAAAACTGGTATCGTTCCGCAATGGACTAGTCCGCTGAGAATTTTATTGTACACCTATTCACTGTAGGGTTTCAGTTGTTGTTGATGATATTTATAAAAGCTCTCTGTACGAGTTGCGATCGCGAACTGATACCTGTTTGGAGAAAATTTTAGTCTTTCATGTTCATTTGCAGC